TCGGGGCGGGGCCTGCGGTCGACGGCGTCCATGGCGAGGACGAGGAGGAGGAGGAGGAGGAGGGAGGCCGGAGGAGAGGGAGGATGCGGGGGTGGGGTCGCGGTGTTCCAGATCACACAGCGCCAGCCATCAGAGCTGCAGCGCAGGCCCGCGCCGAGATTAGCCGCCGGGGCCAGGCTGGCGATCCGAGGGAGGCCAATGGGAGCACACCGTCCGTCCTACTTATCGACGCCGAATTAACTGCTGTTACGTATTCGTCTACTAGGCTAGGCTCGAGCTCAGGAAAGCTCATTACTTTTGTACGCTATCGTCTACTACTATGAGGCTTATTTACTAGGAGCGAACGGCAGGGCAACGGGGGCGAGCGCGCGGGGCGCGGTTAGTATGCGGGAGTCAGAGTAAGTTATTTAGCGTGAAGAATAAACATAAGCATAAGATACCCAGTGGGAACACCGTCGGACGAACGCCTGCCTTTACCGCGGCCGAGGAGGCGTCTCTCCCTCTTCCTCCGCATCCGTCAGGTTCAGGTAGTCGTCCGCGTCGTAGAACTCCTCCAGGTACGGCTCGACCGGGTGCAGGCGTGGCCCGCTCGTCACGTACAGCCGTGTAAAGTGTGGCAGCACCACCGACGCGTCCTGCGCCTGTCCCCCTGCAGGCATCCCGCCCGTCCCTGCGGGTGCCGCAAACTCTTCGTACGAGGGCGGTGCGACGGCTTCATACCCTGGCGGAGGCGACCGTGGTGGTCGTGATGGTGGTGGTAGGAGTGGTCGTGGCAAAGGAGACCGTGGCGGCGGAGGCTCGCGGCTGCTGCTTCCAGTGGCCTCGCTCGCTTTGCTTCCGGCTGCCGCCTTCCTTGACCCGGCGCTTGTCTGCCGCGCACCTCTCTTGCTGCCTTTGGGAGCCTTGCCGGGCCCCCGTCGTCGAGGGCGGTCTGCGTATTCACAGACAAACCCACGCTGCATGCAATGTCGGCACGTCGGGCGCTGTCCATCGCACCGCAGCTTGCGTCCTGCGAGTAGCCCATTTTAGAAAATTAATACAGTGCGTTCTTCTCGGTCTCACGGCACGCCACTCACGCCTACAGAAATGACATGCAACCTCCGTCTTTCTGGAGATTTTCCGAGGTCGCTCATTCTCGTCCGGCGGTGCCGCGCTGCTCGTCCCCCCGCTCGCAGCCTCAGGCTGCTGCTCTTCCAAGTCGACGCCCCGCGCCTTTCCTCTGCCTACGCTTTCCTCGGTGTCCTCACCATCATCACCAGACGTCCCCGACGACTGGTGAGAGAACCGAGCCTCGGAGAGGAACGGCGGCCACTCGGCCGGAGTCCATGGATATGGATCCTCCGCCCGCGATGGTTCGACGTCGAACGGGCTTCGGCCCACACTCCTGTGAGAAACAGCAGCAACAGCAGCTGGAGAATCTGCCCATCTTGGAAACTCATGGTAAGACGCCGCATCGGCCCTCACTGGCCCTCCAGATCTCGTTTCAGCACCAGACGGAGGGAAGCTACGCGGCGCTGGGGCATCGAATCGTCTGGGTGCTGTATCATCTCCGGTCAGCGTTCAACCCCGCTAACGTCTCTTCCACAAACTCACCAGGCTCATCCGGGACAGGCTCAACCCGCCGGCGCTTTTCCGCCCTCCGAGACTCACGACGTTCGATATCTGAAGCATTACCCTGTTCTTGATGACCTGAGTCCGGTGTCCGGCGTTCTGCTCTGGTAGCCTCTGGGGAGAAGTACGATCGGTATGGGATTCCTCGGATAGGCCTCTCCCGTGAAGAAGATCTTGCCTCTGATGGTGCACGAACACCCGACGCCTGGTCAGGCGGAGGCGGAAGGTTGGGCGGCCGACCCTCGGGCGGGTGGTATTCGAAGGTAGGAAGCCGGGGCCAGTCAACAAACGGGCTGAGCTGCGTAGGCTGGGGACCCTCCACAAACTGCGGATATGGATGAAGAAATGGGGCAAGCCGATACTCCAACGGCTGATCCTGCGCTGATACAGGGACAGCTGCCCTCTGTGGGTACTCATGCTCTTGAGAGACAGTCCTACGTCCCTGCGTAGAAGGTCCAGGCTCTCCCTCTTCGGGTTCCGTAACGATAAACGAAAGGGGCGGGGGTTGATTGGCCGATCGTCTGATCTCTGAATATAGGCGTGGAGGTTCGTATAGCCCATATCTGTGGGGTTCGTATTCGAAGGGAAAGATATTGGAGGAGGTGGAGGAGGTATGAGACTCAAGAAACGGGGTCGCTCTGAGTCTTCCTGGAGTGAATCGTACAGGGTCGGTTTGACCTGTTTCCAAAGGCTCTCTGGACGGGAGAGGCGGAAGCACGACGGCTGGGAGCTGTTGTGAGCGGGTCCCCGCCTGCGGGGGTGCACTGCGGGATGCAGGCGCAGGCTCGGGCGACTGACTCCTATTGCGACTACCGCCGCTACCACTACCCTCCTCAAAGGCAGCGGGGTTCAGCGTTACAGGAAAGAACGGCGCATCACGGAAAGAACGGACGGGAGGGAAGGTGTACGAACCCTCCCAGGATGATGCGTGCCCTCCGGCCCCCTCCCTTCCTGTACCGCCGCCCTCCGGCGGGGGATCCTTTTCTGACGTCGTGCTCGTCTGGCCCGAGACCAGGTGTGGGTGGAGGCTGCTCGGGAGCGAGCTTTGTCTCTTGCCCTGTCCTCGTCGCGACGATTGCATGTCTGGCAGGCCGAAGGGGCAGCTCTGTGCACTAGAGCCGGCGGGTGCAGTGTCTCGCTCGGGACGGCGGGGTCAACGAGAGCAACGGAGGTAGGGGGCCCATTCGCCTTGGAAGGGAGGATCGCGGAAGAAAAGAGGGGAGCAAAACTTGAGCAAAACGGCGAGCCGCAAAGAGGGGCGAGGACTAGGAGCGAGACCACCCGCCGCGAGCGAGGGGACGGACCGCTGATCTGCTTCCGCTGGACGGTCAGTGCGCCCAGTTCTACAGTGCTCCAGGAGCGAGAGCGGCAGGGGGGGCATAATTGTATCGAGGTCCGCCCCGGCTTGCTGGTGAGTGCGATTGGTGGTGTGGCTTGGTGAAACACCGCTACGAATTAAATTTAAATTGTGACCGTCTCATTGACTGTCCCCACATCCCTCAGGATTGTGCCCACCGAGCCTGGCAGCGATTCGTACACTGCAGTCTTCATGCCGCACTCCCCCATCGCCCTCATCCTGCGCTGGCGATCCAGGGGCCAAAAATTTCCAACGGCACTGATTAGGCGTAGCCTCGTATCATGGGCGAGGTGCCCATGCTTGTCCGAGTCTGGTTCGGCCGGTCACAAGTCACATAATCGACCCGAAACACGATCGACTATCTGGCTTAGTCTGCTCGTACTCAGCACGCCTTCCAAAATTGTCCATCTCCGCCCATCGTGCCGGTAACATTTCCGACGCGCCCTTTCAATCTGCCAGCGAGATCCTCGCGGAAATGCTGACGATGATACGGCGCAGCTGCGCGTCGACATGGCTGCCCACCCAATCGACTCTACGATGCGCTCAGGAGTGCGTCTCCTATGCTTACTAGGATCGTGCTGCGTAGCCGCGCCCCGCGCGACTCCTGTCACTAGGCAGATTAGTGTGCTGAGAAGCGGGTGATTTACCCGGCAGGGAAACCGCATGCGCAGAACGTTATCTCGATAAATCATCACACAAAGTCACACTCTTATTTCTGCTATTTCTGTACGGTGGATGTGCGACGTATGGTATATTGTATTTCTCAGTGCACACCATGCTATTGTTCTCAGTGCGCCTCGACGCCGCCGTGACAGACAGGAGCTGCCCGCGTCCGTTCATGCAGCGATCAGCCACCCCGAATTTGTCATGTCCAAAAAAGGAACATATCGTGTCTGCGGCGGTGGCGCGCAGTGTTTCATTTTTTGCCGTCACGGCGTCACGTCCCGCCGTGTGTGACGTGTCTGATACCGATACGGCGGTGACGAAGAAAGATCGACGACGGACAGACCCCGCACTATGTATGCCACTCACCCCTTGTCCGCAGGTCGTCGCTCCTGCATGCTGCGCGATGCGCGGAGAGCGTTCGCAACGGCGGCGGCGAGGGCGGACGGCGTGGTCATGAATCGCTACAGCCGCACCGTCACGCAGCCAAAAACACAAGGCGCGAGCCAGGCCATGCTCTATGCTACTGATGGCGTTTCCAGCGACGATGATTTCCAAAAGGCCATGGTCGGAGTTGCCAGCGTATGGTAGGACCTTGCTCCTCTCGTCCTCCGCCTTTCGCAGACACTCACACAAAGCACTCTGTTCCAGGTACGAAGGCAATCCGTACGCCGTTTTCCCCCTGCAGCGCCCATTCCCTGTGAGCTGACAAGTGAGTTTCAGATGCAATCGACATCTCCTCGGACTGGGCCAGGCGGCCAAAAAGTCCCTGACAGATGCTGGGATAATTGGCTACCAGTTCGGCACGGTGGGCGTCAGGTTGGTTTTGTGCTTCCCGCGAATCGTTCGTATTGTTTCGCGGCGCTCACGGACCTCCTCAGCGATGGGATCAGCATGGGAACACGAGGGATGTCGTACTCCCTGCAATCGCGCGACCTCATCGCAGACCAGGTCGAGACCGCGGCTGGCGGTCACTGGCTTGACGGGATGGTTGTCATCCCCGGGTGCGACAAGAACATGCCCGGCGTGCTCATGGCGCGTGAGTGCCCTGTAAATTTTTCGCATTGCTCTGCCCTGAGTCTATTCCTTTCTGGCGCTGCAGTTGGGCGTCTGAACCGACCTGGCCTGATGGTGTACGGGGGGACAATTCGTGCAGGCTCGTGCGCTGGTGCGCCGCAGCTGGACATCGTCTCTGCGTTTCAGGCGTACGGGCAGTACCTGCAGGACGGCAAGACAGAGGCGGCCGAGCGGGAGCGGTACGACACGATCCGGCACGCGTGTCCTGGGCCGGGCGCGTGCGGCGGGGTGAGTGGGCAACCGGCGGTCCGGGCGGCGGCTGACGGGCTGCGGCCAGATGTACACGGCGAACACGATGGCGAGTGCGGCGGAGGCGATGGGGATGACGCTGCCGGGCTCGTCGTCGTTCCCGGCCGAGTCGGCGGAGAAGGAGGCGGAGTGCCGGAGCATCGGCGGCGTGATGCGCGGCCTGCTCGAGAAGAACCTCCTGCCGCGTGACATCATGACGCGCTCTGCGTTTGAGAACGCCATGGTCAGTGACTTGTCAGCCCAACCCGCCCTGTCGCGCCCCCGCTTATGTCAGCACAGGTCCTCACCATGATTCTTGGTGGCTCGACCAACGCCGTCCTCCACCTCATCGCCATCGCCCACTCGGTCGGCATCGAGCTCACCCTCGACGACTTCCAGGCCGTCTCAGATCGCGTCCCCTTCATCGCAAACCTCAAACCCAGCGGCCAGTATGTCATGGAAGATGTGTATAAGCTCGGCGGAATCCCCAGTGCGGTTTATTGCGCTCGGTCTTAGATGCCATACCCATTTGCTCACCCTCATTTCTTTCCCAGAGATCTTGGCATATTTGCTAAAGAACAACCTCATCGATGGTGAGACCATGACTGTGACAGGTCTCACCCTGGGCGAAAACCTCGACAGATGGACCCACAAGTATGGCGAGCTGTCATTTACCAATCAAGACATCATTCGGCCCCTAGAGAAGCCAATCAAGGAGACTGGCCATCTCAGGTGATTTTTTGGCATCTCCCATAACGATAATTTTAGCTCATTGCTGTCCGTCTCATTTCTGTTGCCCTAACTGCACCGCATCTTCCCAGAATTCTACGCGGAAACCTTGCGCCCGGTGGTGCAGTCGCAAAGATCACAGGGAAGGAAGGACTCGGCTTCACGGGCAAAGCTCGTGCATTTGATATCGAAGATGACTTTGTTACCGCTGTCGAGAGCGGGTCAATCAAGAAGGGTGAGAAGACCGTCGTCGTCCTCAGATACCTCGGCCCGAAGGGTGGACCAGGTAACGTTTGTCGCATTCTGCAATCTGTCGGGCTTTCCTTAATGAGATGCGTCGGTACTAGGCATGCCCGAGATGTTGAAGCCCACCAGTCTCATCATGGGCGCTGGACTCGGTCACGATGTTGCGTGCCTAACCGACGGCCGGTTCAGTGGCGGGGGGGGGGGG